TTTATTATTTTGATTATTATTTATTTTATTTGAGATAATTTATGAAATTATATTTTTTTCAATTTCATTCTTATTCAACTTTTTAATTTGTAAGATTTATTCCTTATTATTTTAATAAACTTGAGAAAAATAAAAAATTAATAAATTACTTTCCAGTTTATTTTTCATAACATAACCAAACACTACAAAGTGTTTTCCAGTTCATTTTTTATAATATTACTAAATATCAGAAAATAATTCACTTTCCAGGAATTCATTTTCCCTGGAATTCACTTTCCAAAAGAAAACAACTTTCCTGCAAACAAACGGAGCCTTAATTAGTATTTATTTTGTTTTTTACTCTTCTTCTAATTAATTTTCTTTTTGAAATCCACTTTTCAAAAGGAAACAACTTTCATGCAAACAAACAGAGCCTTAATTAGTATTTATTTTGGTTTTTACTCTTCTTCTAATTAATTTTCTTTTCAATTTCATGCCTGATTTTTTTTTTTATAATTTGATCACTATTCTTTTAATTATAATTTCTTTTGGTTTCATTTATTTTTTTAGATTCATCTCTTTTTTTTCATCTCAAATTTAATCTTAATTTTTTTAATCATAATTTTTTAAACTCAAGGTTAATTTTTGACAAGTTTTGAGCCATAGATTGAATAAATTAGCTAAAGTTATCTAAATTAACTTAGCCTAAAAAAATATTAAAAGAATTTTAAAAAATATTATTAAATCAGCTGAGATTATTAAATCCATCATCTCAATGACTCAATTCTCTATTATTTTTTTAATTTCAAATTTTACATAATTTTTGTTTTTTAAATAACCCCATTCACAAGGCATGTATCCACTTCAGGAGATGGACCTTCAGCTATCTCCGAAGAGACAAGATAAATGAAATTATGTGCTGGGCCAGGTACGCGCAAAACCCAATTCTTGGGAAATGGATAAATGGTTGGCATACAACGCATATGAGCTGGTTCGTACCTTCACGTTGTTTCTTTCGCAGAACCATGGTGTTCGTCAGCTCTTCAAATACTTGCGCATTAAGAAAGTTGACCATGTAGATTATTGTCATAGAAAAAGACGATTACGTGCTCCAAACAAGCTTGAGAATACCCACCTGTAACGTTTGCTTTCGTGATCCCAAAGCCTAAATGGTGAGGAAAAAGGCACTCAAGGGCATTAAAAAAATTAAGAGAGATGTGCTTCTTTTTGTAAAGTTAGGGCAAAGCTGTTCTTTGATAAAAAAGGTAGGCCTTGAGGCACCAATCTTGTTGAAAGTTTGCTAAAGTAAATAAACAATGAACGGTACAGGGATCGATATGGGTTTCCCTTTTTAGACCACCATGGATGATGAATCATAAACTCTCTTTTTGCTTAAAACAACTTGCATTCTAGGGCAGATCGATTATAGAGATCAATTTCAAAGGTAAAACAAGAAAGTAATGACAACTTGCATTCTGGGACAGATCGATTATAGAGATTCATTTCAAAGGTAAAACAAGATAGTAATGACAAATTCAGAGCAGCTCAAGTTTCCACCCAGACCAAATGCATGGCTGGATATATACAAGATGCTGTGGGGAAGAAAAGGGTGAAAAAGCTTTTCTATTTTTACTCGGTTTTTAAGGCTATTTTTAAAGAAAATGATGAGAGTGCATGGACACTTATAAAGATAGAAACTGTTCATCACTTAAATTAGGATGGTAGAAATTACACGTGAAAAAAGAAGAAGATTAAACAAATCTCTCCAGCCCTCCATTGGATCCTCATGTTTCTTGGGGATCTCGTATATCATTTTCTCAATTTGTCCATGTAACACTATCAAATTCTCCTTAAATATTTCCATAAGAAGAAGTTTGTCTTCAATTTAGTGGATTAATATCAAATCATTTTGAACGCCACTAAGTATAAAGCTGTGGCTTTATACTTGGTGCCTGTGCTGCTGTGTCTCGTTCAACAGCTGCATGTGGCTTTTCCTTTTGGACTGTTAGGTTGTTTTAATTAACACGAGCTTGTTTAAATATTAATTATTTTATTCTAATATATAAAAATACAGAAACAGTTATGAAGAACAGTGTTTTTTTAAAAAAATCAGACACATTCCTTCACTAGTAAGCAAAGAGTTACGACGTTGAAGGGTAAAAAAAAAAAATTACAAGAAAACATTTTGTGGTTTGTTCTTTGTTTTTCATCTAAGATTTTTAAAAAAGAATATTGTTTTCTTCTTATTTCATACATACAATAACACTTAATATTACCCAAAAAAATCAATAAAAAATACTTTTAGAGTATTAAAATAACAAAATTGCTATTCATAATTTCTCAAAATAAATCCCTTTCAGGCATTTCATCAAACAATTTATGAGCAATAAACATTCTTAAAGGGTTATGGAACTCCATGTCCTCAAAAAATACCACCAAACCTGAACAGTTGAATTTCAATGAGATACCACTACATGAACAAGAAAGTTGCTATCAATCCTTTTCAACGTTGCATGTGCATTTCACTTGCTGCATTTCATTAGGTAAATGGATCTTCTTCTTTTCAACTTTAACGATCACTCTCTCATTTTACAATCATTTTCTCACTGCATTGGTTAGGGCAACTTCCACATCAATGTTCATGTCATGCCTATGTTTTTCTTAAAAAAACTGAGGATATTCTCAGGCCTGTTTGTTATTGAATTTGTAATTTCATCCTTTCGAGATAAAAATCGCTACCACCTCAACCAATTATTTAGTGGTCATATATATATATATATTATTACTGATATAAATATTTGAATCAACTTGTATAAATTTCAATTAATTTTATGAGTTTTAATATTAATAATTATATAGACTTTTAGTAATTTTGAGAGAGCTCAAATTCATAATTATTAAAAAATAAATTTAAAATTTAATTAGTTGAGTTATCCCTTGAAATTATAAAACTCCTATAAAATTTATAGGATGTGACCAATTAAATTATTATTTTTAATTTTTTTAAATTGGTATTATTTTTTTAATCTATCCATGACTGACTTAAATATGAGACTCCTAAAAAGTTATATACATACTAACGATTCATTCTTCTTCTTTTTTTAATAACTTTTTACATTTCCATTTCACCCTTTCATTTTTATTTTGACATATTCCTTGCCTCCCTGCTCCCTAGGTAGTCTTTTGTTGAGAAAAGAAATCAAAGCAGTATATTTTATATTGAAATTGAAAGAAAATTAAATATCATATCAAAAAATAAAATAATTGCCTTTGAACAATTAAAGATTGTAATATATTTTCATAGTTATTTTGTTATATACTTTTTAATTAGTTGAATATAATTAAATATTCTATCAATAAAATTTCTAGTTTTTAACATCATTATATTTTTTCCGTTGACTCATATCTTAGCCGTCCTCCAAGTCACCCTGTCTTTGTATAGAAACTTGGCTGTATTTGAAACCTGGATTGTTCAATTGTATCCATGCCCACCAACGAGAACAACTGGACTTCGTTGAAAAGGCTTTTTTTTTTTTTGCAGCGGCGGAAGCGGCAGCAGCAGAAGAAGGTAGTTAATGATTAATAAGTAGTGTGATTGAGCCATTATGTGCACAATCAATCTTGTATGGTACTTTAGTACTTTTACTGGATGATTCACCCGCAACATGCTGCGGGTAAAGTTTATTCTTTTTAGAATATAAAAAAAAAAATTCTAATACTGTTAATATTTTTTTTAGTGAAAAAAATTACATGGGGTTAATTTAATGTAATTTGATTGATTTTTTAGATTAAAAAAACCCAAATATCTTATAAAAATATAATTCAACTTAAAAATCTTTTTAAGATGATATTGATTTTTAATATTAAGATAAGAATATAATAAATTAACTTGAGCTTAGGTTAACATGTCATATCCACGATGAGACTATAATAAATCTATAAAAAATAAATAAAAATAAATTATAAAATTTAATTTTCAATCAGCTTAATGTTGAAAGATGAATTGAAAAATAATTAATTAAAAAATGACTTAAAAACAAGTGGCGTTAATCTGTCAAACCAACAACCTATATCATAAAATTGAGATAACCTTATGGAAAAAAAATTGAAATAAATTATAAAGTTTAATTCTCAAACAATCCAATGTTAAAGGATAAAATTAAAAAAATAATTAAAAATATAAAAAATAACATGAATCAATCAGCTAAACCAATAACATGGATCATGAAACCAATATAATCTTGTAGAGAAAAAATTAACTTGATTAAATCGGAGTTAACTTGCAAAATCTATGACTTATATTATGAAATTAAGATAACTCGATAGAAAACAAAGCAAAATAAATTATGAATCTCAATTCTCAATAGATATTGTCGAATTCACTTTTGAATGATAGAATTTATAAAATTTTTAATTGAAAACTAATAAAAAAATAATTTAAGTGAACTTGAGTTAATCCATTAAGCATTATTTTTAAATTATGAAGTTGAGATAACTCGATAAAAATAAAACCAAGATAAATTATGAATCTTAATTATCAATAAAACATAATATTATATCTTCTTTCATGCTTGATTTTGCTCAAATAGTTATTTTGATTTTAATTGAAAACAATTTATTTATATCAAAATTACTTTTCTATGAAGTAATTTCAATAAATTAGCAGGATTTAAATTTGTATCCTGTATCTATTCAAATAAAACATCAAATGTAAATACAAAGAAGGGTGTAGTCTAAATGATTAAATTTTAGATTTGTTTCTTAAAAATTATTAATTTAAATTTTATAAACTTTAAAATTACTGAAAATTTATATAATTATTAGCTTTAAAATTCAAAAAATTAATCAAAATTCATGTAAATTAATTTAAATACCTATATTAATAATAATAAAAAAATCACATGCGAGGAATATTTTTGAAAATGTCAATTATGTCACTGGACACCCACAGTTATCGTCCATCACATAATTATTAACCGAAAGAAACGTTTAAGCTTGAAGGGCTCATCTCAAGAAATAAAATTTGAGTAGATGATGTCTTGTAGACAAGACATGCCAGGCACGAAGGAAGGAAAGAAAGAAACCACATTAGTCAGCAAATGGAGTGGTTTTTCACAAAATCCGTTCAAACCATAACAACCATTCAAATTCACAATCCATAATCTAAAACGTAACTGGTTTTTTATTAAATTTTTATTATTTTTTATTTTAAATTTAAAAACAATTTTAAAAACAACTCTTAAACCACACACAGTGATGTGACTTGACGTGGCAAGAGAATAATCATGGGACCCTCGAAGTCCTCCTCGTTTAACTGGTTAGAGAACCCAGTCCTTCCACTATAACCCTCCAAAATTTCCCACCCATTTGATCGAGTCCCAGCAAGAGTCTTGATTAACTAAATAAAGCCACTTGCTGGGTCCCACATGGCCATCTCTCCAGTCTCCCACCTCACTTGCCACCATTGCCAAAAAGAAAAAGAAGAAGAAGCAGAGAGAGATTGATAAGCTTACGATATGGTGTATGATTGACTCTAGGACCACAGGCTCCTTGCTCTCAATTCTCAAACACTTCCTCTCCCTGGAACGTTCGCATTCGCATTCACACCCTCCCTCGCTAGAATCCCACTTCCTCTCCCTGGAACGTTCGCGTTCGCATTCACACCCTCCCTCGCTAGAATCAAAACAGACTGGTGCTGACAGATGCTAGCATTTATTTTTCTTTTGTGTAGTGTACTATAAAATTTTTTAAAAGAAACATCTGCTTTTTCTTTTTATCCCTGTCAAGAGGACTGTCAGTGGCTCTCATCTCTTTTATTGTTTTGATCTGTTGTTTCCCTCTTTGCCTTTGGCACCGTTTTTCTTTCTATGGTTCTAATCTAAATCAGCTTCTCTAGAGAAGATGGGGTCTAGGCTTCTGCTTCTTTTCTTTCTTCTTCTCTTCGTCCACGCCTCCTCAGCTCAGCCTGGTACGGTGCTACCTCTTTCTCTCCCTCTCTATGTAGTATAACACCTACATGCTAGACGAAACATTCGCATTTGTCGTTGTTGGTGATTGTTGATTTATCGCTCTTGATTCTCTTGAAGATGAAGTTCAAAGACATCATTTTTATATATCTATAAGGTCAAAGGAAAAGAAAAAGAAAAAAGAAAAGAGCTTTCTTGTGTTTTGGATTGTCCATTGTTTTTATTTTTTTTAATTTCTTTATGCAGTACACAGTTCTCGATTTTTTTTTTTTAATAAATGTTTTGGTTAGTGAGTAGTAGCAAGCAAAGAAATTTACTGGGGTTTTAGTTTTCACATTATATTCATCTTCCAGTGCATTCAAATATTTATTTGATCAAGCCAGCAATTATTAACTAACTATTTAATAGCTGGGAGGCATAAATTTTCCTGTTTCTATGTCGTATCTGGAAGACTAGAATCTTTTAATTGTCATTTACGTCTTACTATATGAAAATTTCACCAAACCATCAATGCGATAGACGCTAATTAAAATAGCAAAATTCGGGGGGATTTGGTCCCCGTTGGAGACATTAATTGCTTAAAAACATTAAGAGTTCAATACAAAATCGGGTGAGCCGCCCATTTGGAAGGCACAATGCTGAGTTCTTTGAGTGTGGTGTGCATATAATGCATCTTTTTACTGGTAACATCTTTCCGGAGATCTCACAACTAGCAACGTAGCTGGCACATGAAAGGTCAAATTTTGATTTACTCTTCTGTGATATGAGTCTGTTTTTTTTACCGGATTTGGGGATGGTTCTATGTCTCTAATCATATTAATTGTTAAACTACAAACGATGATCTTTTTTCATGTTAGTGTAAACTATGGAATGATATTAGAACTGTACCAGCTTGTGGGTTGCTTTTTAGCTACAATCGTACTTTGTTTTTATTGATCCTTAAAGGTAATGAAAATGTAATCAATACTTGAAAACTGCTTGTTCACCATTTTAGGCGGTTGTTTACTTGAATTACATGCTGTTGCACGCAGGCATGCACACACCTTGGCCTGGGAAGTGAAATAGTGATTGTTCATTCTTCCTTTTCCTGGAAAATGTTGTCAATAATTCTTGATACAATGTCAGCTTATTTGTGTTTCTGATACGAAAATCCTGTTTCTGCATGTGAACAACAATGTGAAAATGTTAATGTTTTTTAACCTATGCTTGAACTAAAACAGGTTTTCTGAGTTTGGACTGTGGGGGCGCAGTAAATTTCACTGATGATCTTGGACTGTCGTGGACTTCAGATTTTAATTTTAGTTACGGAGCAGTAGCAAGCATATCAGTTGCAAATGAGACACGAAAGCAGTATACTACAGTGAGACATTTCCCTGCAGATTCCAGGAAGTACTGTTATAGACTGGATGTCACTAGTAGAACAAGATACCTTATAAGGGCAACCTTCTTGTATGGTAACTTTGACAGCAACAACGTTTATCCAAAATTTGACATTTCTGTTGGGCCAACTCATTGGTCTACAATTGTCATTTCTGATGCTAATACCATAGAGTCTACAGAGCTAATATTTCTGGCTTCAAGTTCTTCTATCAGTGTATGCCTATCAAATGCTACAACTGGGCAGCCATTCATATCTACCCTTGAGCTCCGACAGTTCAATGGTTCAGTTTATTATACAGAATTTGAAAACCAGTTTTATCTCAGTTTGTCAGCCAGAATCAATTTTGGTGCAGATAACGAAGCTTCAATTAGGTATGCTTAATTTTTGCTGATGTGCATTTATCCGAATGCCTTTTCAAGCAAAAGCTGCTTAATCTTTAACAGAGAGATAGAGTGTGAAAGAATACATTAAATTATTTAAGCTTAAATGATACACAGAGATACCTCCATTCCTCATAGTTGAAATACTTTTGCTTGGGAATTTGTGGCCGCTATGACAGTAATTATATCAGTTTTTCCTTTCAGACACAAATCTTACTACCAATATATATATAACACGTGTGTGTTAGAATAACATAACTCTGTTCTGTTTTCAGGTATCCTGATGATCCATACGATAGAATATGGGAGTCCGACTCTGTGAAGAAAGCTAATTATCTTGTTGATGTTGCAGCTGGCACAAAGAAAGTATCAACTGACATGCCTATTGACGTCAACATTGATGAAAGGCCTCCTGAAAGAGTGATGCAAACAGCTGTAGTCGGCACAAATGGATCACTGACATATCGGTTGAACTTGGATGGTTTTCCTGGTTTTGGGTGGGCTGTCACATACTTCGCTGAAATTGAAGATCTGGATCCTGAGGAGTCCAGAAAATTCAGGCTGGTACTCCCAGGGTACCCTGATATGAGCAAAGCTGTTGTCAATATTGAAGAAAATGCTCAAGGAAAATACCGTCTCTATGAACCTGGATATACCAACCTATCCCTACCCTTTGTATTATCTTTTAGATTTGGAAAGACTTCTGATTCTTCCAGGGGACCTCTTGTGAATGCTATGGAGATACACAAGTATCTTGAGAAAAATGATGGTACCCTAGATGGTTAGTAGAACAATATGCCCTGCATGCATCTGTATCATTTTGACTCCAGAGACCTGAAATCTTGGTGTTTTAAAATGTTTTTGAAGCATAAGTTCTGCTAACTTTGAAACCTAATTAAAGCATATCCCATATCAATGTGAAATTTGAAACCTAATTGAAGCATATCTGATGCTGAATTTGCATGAGGTGCAGGCTATGTTATTTCTCGTGTTATTTTATCCCACTCAACGGAAGATTGGGCACAAGAAGGTGGTGACCCATGCCTGCCAGTTCCATGGTCATGGGTGCAGTGCAACTCTGAAGCAAGGCCAAGGATTGTTAAGCTGTAATGATTTATCTCTTTTGTGATTTTATTTTATGCATTTACAGATTGATTCCTTCATTTGTCCTAGTTTATTCCCACACCATGTTTGAAGAGAATTGTACGTTCATTTGGTTAACTTAGCTCATGTACCTTGTTTGGCAGCTCTTTGTCTAGCAAGAATTTATCTGGGAATGTTCCTTCAGGCTTGACGATGTTGACAGGTTTAGTTGAATTGTAAGTTTCAAGCTGCTTGTCCTTTGGCTAGATGCTGGATTTAGATTCAAGCTTACTACTGTAATAGTTTAAGCCCTCCACATCATTATTATCCACTTGTCTTGTGGTCAGATGGCTCGATGGAAATTCACTGACTGGTCCTATTCCTGATTTTACTGGATGCACAGACTTGGAGATCATGTAAAGCAAGATGGTTCTCTTAATCATGGTGTTTAAATCTTTGTTTTATTAAAATGTTGACCTAAGATGATCCTCCATGTCTGACAGTCATCTCGAGAACAATCAGTTGACGGGTGAGCTGCCATCCTCCTTACTGAACCTACCAAATTTGAGGGAACTGTAAGTTTATCAGAACTTGGATGTCAGTTATATGAAGAACTATGCATAATCTCTCATGGGAATTTAATAATTAATATCTATTTCTACCTTGACTGGTGAATGATGATTGGAAGCAATAGCACGACTTCTTCTTTAAATGAACATTTTTTTGGTAAAACTTAAAAGAAACACAAAATTATAAGTTTAAGTAAATAATTCATCACATTTTGTGTTTTTTCTTTCTTTCTTTACTCTATAGTAAAAGAATTTATTTACTTCACACATGGGATAATTGCAGATATGTGCAAAATAATTTGTTATCTGGAACAATACCATCGGGTCTCAGTAGAAAGGTGGCTTTGAAGTGAGTCTCTCTCTCTCTCTCTCTCACACACACACACCACTTTGATATGTTTTGTTAGTATGCTAAATTTTGCATATTATTGATCATGGCCACATAATTCATTATTTAGGCTAAGTTGTTTAATGTTATTTTGTAGCCAGACTAGCAGTCATGTACAAGATGCGGTACATCTTTCTCAACAATAATGAGAAGCTCTTTGACTATCTCTGCACATAATAAGTACATAGCCATAGTCAATTGAAGTAACTATTTAACAACTGCATAGGTTTAATGTGTTGGTCTTTTTGATTGAGGTCTTCTAATATTCATTCATTGTGTGTCAGTAGGTCTTTCAATACTTAAGTGTCCCATATTCTTTTATCATTTCTCCCTTGTAGTTTTTGCCCGTGTTGCCATGATTGATCTAAAGATCTGTTACTCACTTCTGTGCATAATCCCAAAAGGACTGGTCAGAAGCAGGAATAGTGTTACAGGCTCCATGTAAGGTCTGTGAAGGGCAGCCTCATGCAATCAGGATTTTTCTTTAACCCTATCATAATATCGAAATCTTCCCACTCAAATCCTTTTCCAGTATGGTTTGCTGAACTGGGGTTGCAGTGCTGCAATCCAACATGGGACCTCGAAGTTGGCTTTTATACCTTTATCATGATCCAAGGACTTGCTAGCTACAATAACGATTAACCGCAAGAGGCCTAGTCCGAGGTTTCTTTGAGACTTCTCCTTATTGCCTATGTAGCCTAGTTACCTCACTTTGATACGTTTTGTTAGTATGCTAAATTTTGCATATTATTGATCATGGCCACATAATTCATTATTTAGGCTAAGTTGTTTAATGTTATTTTGTAGCCAGACTAGCAGTCATGTACAAGATGCGGTACATCTTTCTCAACAATAATGAGAAGCTCTTTGACTATCTCTGCACATAATAAGTACATAGCCATAGTCAATTGAAGTAACTATTTAACAACTGCATAGGTTTAATGTGTTGGTCTTTTTGATTGAGGTCTTCTAATATTCATTCATTGTGTGTCAGTAGGTCTTTCAATACTTAAGTGTCCCATATTCTTTTATCATTTCTCCCTTGTAGTTTTTGCCCGTGTTGCCATGATTGATCTAAAGATCTGTTACTCACTTCTGTGCATAATCCCAAAAGGACTGGTCAGAAGCAGGAATAGTGTTACAGGCTCCATGTAAGGTCTGTGAAAGGCAGCCTCATGCAATCAGGATTTTTCTTTAACCCTATCATAATATCGAAATCTTCCCACTCAAATCCTTTTCCAGTATGGTTTGCTGAACTGGGGTTGCAGTGCTGCAATCCAACATGGGACCTCGAAGTTGGCTTTTATACCTTTATCATGATCCAAGGACTTGCTAGCTACAATAACGATTAACCGCAAGAGGCCTAGTCCGAGGTTTCTTTGAGACTTCTCCTTATTGCCTATGTAGCCTAGTTACCTCACACCAATGGAGATTCTATACATCTCATGTCAGCTTCTTTGCAATTGCACTTCAATTACATTTTTGGAGTGCACTTTTTTGGGTGCACCTAATCAAATATATTTAACTCTGTTTCTTGTTTAACCACAGCTACTCTGGAAACATTAATCTTCATGAAGGAGCCAGAAGAGGGAGGCACATCGATATTATTATCGGTTCGTCAGTTGGAGCTGCTGTTCTTCTCATCACTACAATAGTGTCTTGCTTGTTCATGCACAAAGGAAAGAAAAGACACCCTGACCAAGGTATGGCTACAAAACAATTTGAAGTTACTGTCTAGCCTGCCAGACTTCTCAGATGATAAAACATATGTAACTTCTCTTTTCTAGAGCAACTTCGGGATTCCCTGCCGGTGCAAAGGTTAGTTTCTTCCTTGAGAAATGCTCCTGGTGAAGCTGCTCACTGTTTCACAACCTTTGAGATTGAAGATGCTACAAAAAAGTGCTACAATAACGATTAACTGCAAGAGGCCTAGTCTGAGGTTTCTTTGAGACTTATCCTTATTGCCTATGTAGCCTAGTTACCTCTAACAACTGCATAGGTTTAATGTGTTGGTCTTTTTGATTGAGGTCTTCTAATATTCATTCATTGTGTGTCAGTAGGTCTTTCAATACTTAAGTGTCCCATATTCTTTTATCATTTCTCCCTTGTAGTTTTTGCCCGTGTTGCCATGATTGATCTAAAGATCTGTTACTCACTTCTGTGCATAATCCCAAAAGGACTGGTCAGAAGCAGGAATAGTGTTACAGGCTCCATGTAAGGTCTGTGAAGGGCAGCCTCATGCAATCAGGATTTTTCTTTAACCCTATCATAATATCGAAATCTTCCCACTCAAATCCTTTTCCAGTATGGTTTGCTGAACTGGGGTTGCAGTGCTGCAATCCAACATGGGACCTCGAAGTTGGCTTTTATACCTTTATCATGATCCAAGGACTTGCTAGCTACAATAACGATTAACCGCAAGAGGCCTAGTCCGAGGTTTCTTTGAGACTTCTCCTTATTGCCTATGTAGCCTAGTTACCTCACACCAATGGAGATTCTATACATCTCATGTCAACTTCTTTGCAATTGCACTTCAATTACATTTTTGGAGTGCACTTTTTTGGGTGCACCTAATCAAATATATTTAACTCTGTTTCTTGTTTAACCACAGCTACTCTGGAAACATTAATCTTCATGAAGGAGCCAGAAGAGGGAGGCACATCGATATTATTATCGGTTCGTCAGTTGGAGCTGCTGTTCTTCTCATCACTACAATAGTGTCTTGCTTGTTCATGCACAAAGGAAAGAAAAGACACCCTGACCAAGGTATGGCTACAAAACAATTTGAAGTTACTGTCTAGCCTGCCAGACTTCTCAGATGATAAAACATATGTAACTTCTCTTTTCTAGAGCAACTTCGGGATTCCCTGCCGGTGCAAAGGTTAGTTTCTTCCTTGAGAAATGCTCCTGGTGAAGCTGCTCACTGTTTCACAACCTTTGAGATTGAAGGTGCTACAAAAAAGTTCGAGAAGAAAATAGGCTCTGGAGGTTTTGGAGTTGTGTACTATGGAAAAATGAAAGATGGAAGGGAAATTGCAGTGAAAGTTCTAACTAGCAATTCCTACCAGGGAAAGCGAGAGTTTTCAAATGAGGTAAATTTTCACTTTACTTTGTTTATTATTGCAAGTGAAGATACTTATATTCATACTTTTTGAATACTGAATTGTGTTTATCACTCATTTACGAAGCTGCTTTGAGGTTCATATGATTTTACTCTTTTATAGATATACACTGATTAAAATTGTTTAACCATTGAACATACAGCGGATTTTTGTTTCTAACTAGATGCCATCAATCATGAGCTCTATTTGAAAATACATTTTGTGATTTTAAAATAAGATTACATTGTCAGTTTTGGCTTAGAAACTTTTTTGCTTTAATCATTTTTACAGTCCCCAACTCCGTTCAATCTGTAAGATGTAGAATTTCTGATTAAAATGTCGATGTTTTAATTTGAATCAAGGTTCCTAAAGATTGCCACAAGAGTGACTTAGCCTCTTGTAAATCAAAATACATGAAGCTGCTTAGAAAAATTCAGTAAGATACACAAGAATCCATGAACATGTAGAACTTGCACAGTTGAGCTCCTTGATTCTTTAATAAATGTTTCTATCACATATTAGACAAAGGGAAATTAACCAGTCCCAACATTCCTAGTATTTGAAGTGCCTGGTTAATAAATGGATAAAATCCTCTATATTGTTGACCTGAATTTGTAAACTATACTAAGAGTTAAAACTGACATGGAAACACACATACATTTTTTAAACTTCATGCACATATTCCTATAAGGAATATTGTTCTCTAGGAATTTATTTTGTTTGTGAATCAGCTGTATTGGGTAGTATATTTTTCAGTTGGAGCTGAAAATGTTATGCTGCCATTTGGCACAGGTGACTCTTCTTTCAAGGATACATCACAGAAACCTGGTACAGTTTCTTGGATTTTGTCAAGAAGTTGGGAAGAGTATGCTTGTTTATGAGTTCATGCACAATGGAACACTTAAGGAACATCTTTACGGTAATTTCAAGTGTTTTTGAATGGGTCTAATTTAAATTTTGATACTCACAATTTCTTACACTTTGGCAGGTCCATTAAAACGAGGAAAAAGTATTAATTGGATCAAGCGCCTTGAGATTGCTGAAGATGCTGCAAAAGGTTTATGATAAGCCTTTTTTTTTCCCTTTCCCAAAGATATTATCCTTTGCTATGGTGAAGCCTCTCACTTAAATTAGAGTTGCAGTTTAAGTGCTGGACTGATTGTGTTTCCATGCTTGTTCAGGGATTGAATATCTTCATACAGGTTGTGTTCCAGCCATTATCCACAGGGATTTAAAAAGCAGCAATATTCTTGTTGACAAAAACATGAGAGCTAAGGTTGCAGATTTTGGCCTTTCAAAACTTGCAGTTGATGGAGCTTCACACGTATCTAGCATAGTTCGAGGCACCGTAGGGTATTTGGATCCCGAGTAAGGTTCTTTTATTTAGTTTTTATGATATATCAATTTAAGCAGTGTGATCTGAGAGAATTGATTATGTTGCTGCTTCTGCATTGTTAGATGGTTTTGAACATTGAAATGCTGAGTTATTGTGATGCTTCGTGGCCTTCTTGTTAATTATCTGCTTACAACATACAGACAGAATTTTAAGGATATATTTAAGTTTGAGACCTGACATTTGTATCTAGAACACTGTTACTCACACTCTCTTAGCTGTAGATGTGTTTTTTCATGGTTGTTAATTTGCCGCATTCTTTTTTCATTTATGAAGTTATTTTAATGACTACAGTGAAAGCCTGGAGTCTAGAATGAGTTTGAGTTACACAGACACTTTCTGCTGACATGGGTGCTTTGAATGTTATCACATTGCATTCATAGTTTCTGCTCTATGATGCTCAGGTATTACATCTCTCAACAATTAACAGACAAGAGTGATGTTTATAGTTTTGGTGTCATTCTCCTGGAGCTGATGTCTGGTCAAGAAGCCATATCTAATGAAAGCTTTGGTGTAAATTGTCGCAATATAGTACAATGGGTAAGCTGGTTGATTGTTCAAGGACTAGAGGCTGGGAATTTTTAACCGCTTGTCTTTGGGAACTTTATCATTGATGATCATTATCTGAAAAACCAAGTCAAAATTAAAATCATGTTTAGCCTGACTTGTGCAAGTCTTTTACTAATAATCCAAAAATCTCTATAATTGAAATCACCAAGTTACTTTTGACAGAATGCTTTAAGCTGAATGAATATGTTTTGTTATTATTATAAACATGCTTTATGTCTTTGTATGTCTTCAGTTAACTTTGTTCAAAATCAAGAACAATTTTTTGAAGTACTTTTTTTTAAGCAAAATTTTACTTAAATCTATAACTTATATAGAAGTCAACACATAGTTTCAATCAAATAATGCTAAGTTGTAATTTTTCCTTAGGTCAAATGGGTTGAAAATAACTCAATCGAGGTTGTCCAATAAGCTCTAAATATCTACGAAGTGCATAGTATGGGAATGCTAATGGTTTCATGAAATTTTAAAGCTTTAATAGGTCTTTTAATTTAGTTTGTTTTTTTCACTTTCTGGTTGTTCCTGGAAGAGGTTAAAATCATTCATTTATTTGAAGGCGATAGTGCATGGAAGTTAAACATATTTGGAAAAGCTTCATTTCCTTCAGAACTTGGTTCTTTTCATTTCAGGAAATTGCTATCATTGTTGAAAGACTTAAATAACTGCATGTTTGCATGACAGGCAAAATTACACATTGAGAGTGGGAATATCCAAGGAATCATCGATCCCTCACTCTGTGGTGAATATGACATCCAGTCAATGTGGAAGATAGCAGAGAAAGCTTTGACGTGTGTCCAGCCTCATGGTCACATGAGGCCATCTATTTCAGAAGTTCTCAAGGAGATCCAAGATGCTATCTTAATTGAAAGGGAGGTGACAGCAGTAAGAGAAGATATCTCTGATGAAATGTCGAGAAATTCTGTTCATTCTTCGCTCAACTTGGGTTCGTTGGATTTGGGTGGAGCCGAGAATTACCTGGCGCTTGACGAGTCCCTTGCACAGCCAACCGCCAGATGATTCTTTTCATACTCAGGCTTGTAATTACATTTCCAGCACCGGCAGCAAAAAAAAAAAATTTTTGGGTTCTTTAAGTCAAATATTAGTACTGCTGGAATAAACAATCAAATTGGCCCGGGTGGTTCTGAGAGCAAGTGCTTTGAACTTAAATTTGAGCTTGCAAATTGTTTGTATTCCCATTTGATGTAAATCTATTCTCTCATGGCAAGGAATACATGGATCTTCCCCGTCCTTATGGTATATCTCCTATCAATGTCTGGAAAATGAGGCCTCAGTTATAGGGCTCAGGTATAAATCCCGACAAATGCCTTGGCATGTTACGAGGTTGGCCGAGCAGTCTTATAATACACGTTTAAGAATAGGTGGACCATCCATCTTTGCACGCTAGGAGTAAGCGATAATCATGCGCCTCACTTCGGCTTGTAAACAGAGTTTTTGTCGGGTTGTTCCTTCTTTACAAGACATCAGAACCCCATTGCCTCTTTCAAGCCTCGGGTCGTCTGATTCGATCTAAGCACGGTGGCACCTACCTGCTGCCTTCATTTGGTGCGGTATCAGGTCAGTGGTCTAAGCTGTTTTGCAATGGCAGTTGTGGGGTGCAGCAATAATGAGCAGTTCTTGGCAAGTGCATGGAGGGATTATACGTACTATATCCATCATATCATTTTATATCCCAGCCCCCCCTGCTTTCTTTGAAAATCATAGGCTATCGAATCGGATTTAACAGGGATAGAATTGTGAAACTAAAACTTAATCACAGATAAATGTCTAACATTCTAAAAACAAAGAGAAGGATTTGCAATTGCATTTCATTAAAATTAACTACTTAAATATTGGGATTGCAATTCTATTTCGACCTATAGAATTGGCTAGTTAGGTGTATTTTCTTTTAATATTGTAGTTTTTTTTTTTAAAAAGAGTTAATTGGGGGGGGGGGGGAAAAATTGCTTAATTGGGTAATTCTTTTTGTACCTATAAAATTGGATAGTTAGGTGTATTTTCTTTTAATATTCTAGTTAAAAAAAAAGAGTTATTGGGGGTGATAAATTACTTAATTGGATAAAGAATTCAAGCAAAAGAAAAATGTCTCGGCCCTTTCGGGAGGTAAAGAAAAAAAAATCAGATAATTATCCGAAATTATAATTTTTCATCAGAACTACCTGAATGCTCGGTTACAGGACAGATTCAATGGCTAAAATTCTTGTCAAAGCATGTTGACGAGTTAGGACGGTCAAAGGGTCTGTTCTCCATGTTATTATTCCGTATGGATGTCAATGGAGATTTGCATGTATTCTCACAGAGAGAAGTGGACATGGAAGTAGATTTTTCCCTGTGATAACAGATGACGAGGCATGTATAGTAACCTCCAGCCTATTTAACATTCATACCTGCATCTGTTTATGTTTATATGCATTGTTTTTAATATTTATAATTCTAAAACAGATAAGGTCGGTTCACAGTTTATATAAACAACGAAACAATTGATTTCAAACTTATTTTTCTTTCAATCCAACCATTCTACAGTCTCAAATTATGGTAAAAATTATAAAAAACTGAGTAAATATATGGCTTACCCTGCAGTAGCGATAATTTTAATATTAGTACTGCTGGAATAAACAATCAAATTGGCCCGGGTGGTTCTGAGAGCAAGTGCTTTGAACTTAAATTTGAGCTTGCAAATTGTTTGTATTCCCATTTGATGTAAATCTATTCTCTCATGGCAAGGAATACATGGATCTTCCCCGTCCTTATGGTATATCTCCCATCAATGTCTGGAAAATGAGGCCTCAGTTATAGGGCTCAGGTATAAATCCCGACAAATGCCTTGGCATGTTACGAGGTTGGCCGAGCAGTCTTATAATACACGTTTAAGAATAGGTGGACCATCCATCTTTGCACGCTAGGAGTAAGCGATAATCATGCGCCTCACTTCGGCTTGTAAACAGAGTTTTTGTCGGGTTGTTCCTTCTTTACAAGACATCAGAACCCCATTGCCTCTTTCAAGCCTCGGGTCGTCTGATTCGATCTGAGCACGGTGGCACCTACCTGCTGCCTTCATTTGGTGCCGTATCAGGTCAGTGGTCAAAGCTGTTTTGCAATGGCAGTTGTGGGGTGCAGCAATAATGAGCAGTTCTTGGCAAGTGCATGGAGGGATTATACGTACTATATCCATCATATCATTTTATATCCCAGTCCCCCCTGCTTTCTTTGAAAATCATAGGCTATCGAATCGGATTTAACAGGGATAGAATTGTGAAACTAAAACTTAATCACAGATAAATGTCTAACATTCTAAAAACAAAGAGAAGGATTTGCAATTGCATTTCATTAAAATTAACTACTTAAATATTGGGATTGTAATTCTTTTTGTACCTATAAAATTGGATAGTTAGGTGTATTTTCTTTTAATATTCTAGTTAAAAAAAAAGAGTTATTGGGGGTGATAAATTACTTAATTGGATAAAGAATTCAAGCAAAAGAAAAATGTCTCGGCCCTTTCGGGAGGTAAAGAAAAAAAAATCAGATAATTATCCGAAATTATAATTGTTCATCAGAACTATCTGAATGCTTGGTTACAGGACAGATTCAATGGCTAAAATTCTTGTCAAAGCATGTTGACGAGTTAGGACGGTCAAAGGGTCTGTTCTCCATGTTATTATTCCGTATGGATGTCAATGGAGATTTGCATGTATTCTCACAGAGAGAAGTGGACATGGAAGTAGATTTTTCCCTGTGATAACAGATGACGAGGCATGTATAGTAACCTCCAGCCTATTTAACATTCATACCTGCATCTGTTTATGTTTATATGCATTGTTTTTAATATTTATAATTCTAAAACAGATAAGGTCGGTTCACAGTTTATATAAACAATGAAACAATTGATTTCAAACTTATTTTTCTTTCAATCCAACCATTCTACAGTCTCAAATTATGGTAAAAATTATAAAAAACTGAGTAAATATATGGCTTACCCTGCAGTAGCGATAATTTCTATTTTAATCTAAAAATTTATTTTTTAATTTTTTTAATTCTTGAGTTATAGAGCTGAGAGAGAAACTCGCCTAAAAACATCAATAAAAAAAAAAGGTTAGTTTAGCCATATTTTGACAACAAAATTGATTCTTCTGTGTGTCCAATTATTCTATTCAACAAGAAAAGTTTGATTATTGTGGGTTTTGTTTATAATTATGCCTAAAAAAGGATTAATATATTTCAAACTAATACTTCTAGAACAAATTAAATGAATAAATGTAATTTATAAAGGATGAAAACCTCATTAAATATGCGGAAATAAACCGTGCATTGATAAAATTATTAGATGGTAAATACTACTAAGAGGGGAGCCCAAAAAATAATGGGCCAGGTCTTATCTTAAAACGGATAACTAGCTAGTGTATTTATTCGATAAAAATATATTCTGTTCATTAATGGACAATCTTCTTTATGAACAATTTTCTATTTTATATAACTTTTTTTTTCTTAATTTTAATTTTTGGTATCGTTAATTTATCTGAAGTATCAGATGCGATCTGGTGTTTGAGAGGGTGATACAAGAAATCTGTAAAGGCCAGAGATACATATGCTTAAAATGATGCTTAACCCATTCCAAATATGCATCTTTCGTGGATGACAGTACTAACAAGCAACCCTATCACGATCGTTATCTTTGGATATTTGGCATGTAAATCTCGCAGATTTCTCATCGAAGGTTTTTTCTCACAAGCAAGCTCTCCCTCTCCCTCCCTCCCTCCCTCCCTCTCTCACACACACACACCCACACCCACACACACACTCTCTCATACATCCACAGAGTGCTAATGATTCTTGGAATATTCCTGCTTATCTAGACATTAATGGGAGCACAAGGTTTTTTCTCACAAGCAAGCTCTCCCTCTCCCTCCCTCCCTCTCTCTCTCTCTCACACACACCCACCCACACACACACACTCTCTCATACATCCACAGAGTGCTAATGATTCTTGGAATATTCCTGCTTATCTAGACATTAATGGGAGCACAAAATCATGCTTGAGGAACGCAATCTTATTTAAAAGTGGGATAGTTTTATTTTTCTTTCTTTCTTCTTTTTGTTTTTTGATGGTCAAGGATGCCTTATCATGGCTAGTAAATCAAGCTAGCTCGGATACCTGAACCACCCTTGTAAATTTGCATCTGGGCACCTGAGAAATTGTTTGTGCTTGTCTGTGGAAGGACTTGCTTTCTATCATTAAATTTATGGATTACTGATCAGTACTGTTTTCTAAATCTATAGTTAGTGCAGCAATGAGACATGGAGAAAGTGCAATTATACAACTGTAGAGGCTAATTAATAGAGATTAAAAGGGTGTATGCATGGTTCAGATTGTTTGAGGGATAATAAGAGATGGGCTTTATTTCATCTTTAATCTTTTCTGTTCTAGTTAAAGTATACCAAAATATAATGTAAATAGAGGCAACTGGAAGTTTCGGGCATGCCAATCTGTTCTTTTTCAATAAAAAATCTATGTTAAGAGAAATGTTAAGTTAGAAAAATATATAATATTATCCTTAAAGCATCATATTTAAGATAAGTTTTATTAATAGTTTTGTTATAAATTGTCAAGGATATGTTATGCTATGTTACTGGTAATCTGCCTACTATATTCCTGAGTCTAACATAAATAAATATTTAACTAAAAATATTTTTAATTTTAATATTAGTAAAAATTACATGAAAAAAACCTGAGATTTTTAATTTTAAAGTCAATGAATATTAACCTAAAAATATTCTTAATTTAAGCATTGATGGATATTAATATTCCTGGCTAGTTTTTGATTAGCATCAATGAATATTATTTAAAAATATTTTTAATTTTGATATTAGTGAATATTGTTCAAAACTTAAAATTCTTGATTTTAAAGTTAGTGAATATATTTGAATTTGAATTTTTTAATTTGTTGAAAATTCAGGAACTATATTATTAATTTTTTAATATTCAATATAACAATTTATTGTGAGTGCATTTAACTTGAATAATTTTGAATTAAATGCTGTAATGAACATTATACCTGTAAAGATAGCAAAAGAAAATAGACTTCGGCCCCAAAACCAATTCCAAAACCCTTCATTAAATCACACGACAAACTTAACACTTCAACTTTTCACATTCAAACTCAACAACTTATATTCAAGCTCAAAACACCACCATCTCGTCACAATATACACAGCATACTCAACAATTAATTAGATTTAATTGT